CCCGAGGATATTGTGTCTGACCGAGGTCCCCAGTTCACCTCCAGAGTTTGGGGGGCGTTCATGGAACGATTGGGGGTCTCGGTAAGCCTTACCTCGGGGTACCACCCAGAGAGCAATGGGCAGGTGGAACGTGTCAACCAGGATGTGGGTAGGTTTTTGAGGTCCTATTGCCGGGACCGGCCGGAGGAGTGGTCTAGGTTCATCCCCTGGGCAGAGATGGCCCAGAACTCTCTCCGCCACTGCTCCACCAATTTAACACCTTTCCAGTGTGTTTTAGGTTATCAGCCGGTCCTGGCACCGTGGCACGAGAGCCAGATCGAGGCCCCTGCGGTGGACGAGTGGATTCGGCGCTCGGAGGAGACGTGGGACGCTGCCCATGTCCATCTGCAGCGTGCCATCCGTCAACAAAAGGCGAGCGCCGATCGCCACCGCAGTGAGGGACCGGTGTACGCACCGGGAGATCGAGTCTGGCTCTCGACTCGAAACCTGCCCCTCCGCCTGCCCTGCCGGAAGCTGGGTCGGCGGTTTGTGGGGCCCTTCAAAGTCCTGAGAAGATTGAACGAGGTGTGTTACAGGTTACAACTGCCTATAGAGTACAAAAATATTAACCCCTCGTTCCATGTGTCTCTTCTCAGGCCGGTGGTAGCTGGCCCACTCCAAGAAGATGAGATAGGAGAGACCCCTCCGCCCCCTTTGGACATCGAGGGGGCCCCGGCGTACAGGGTCTGGACCATCTTGGACTCGAGGCGCCGGATGAGTGGTCTCCAGTATCTCGTGGAGTGGGAGGGGTACGGTCCGGAGGAACGGTGCTGGGTGCCCAGGAGGGACATCCTCGATCCATCCCTCCTGACTGAGTTCCACCGTGGGCATCCCACGCGCCCGGGTCCGCGTCCTCCTGGCCGTCCCCGAGGCCGGGGTCGGCGCACGGCTGGAGCCGCGCGTCAAGGGGGGGGTACTGTCACGGATTCTGCCGAGACTGCTCCTCCTCTTGGTTCGGGCAGGCTTCGGCGTTCGCCATCCCCGGAGTACTAGCTGCCACCGCTCTATGTTTCGTAGTGTGATTGCTTTTGTCTGTCTTTTACACCTGTGTCCATTTGTGTGTTGATTACTTGTCTTATAAGTTCCTTGTTTTGCATTAGTCTGATTGTGTGTTGTTATTTTCTGCCTGTCGTGCAGAGCTGCGTGTCTGCACTCTGTCTTTGTTTGGGATTATTGTTTACGCGTGTTTGCGTAATTGCCTCGCCTCCGTCTGTTTTCGAGGTCGTGTTTTGTTTGTTGCTCTTTGGACTATTAAAGTATTTTGGACGTATCCTCTGTGTCCTGCGCCTGACTCCTCCACCACATCCACATCAGAACTACTGACAGAACCCAATTCCTTATAACAAGATGGTTGAGATTATGTTGATATAATATCTATTAAAAACAACCAACTGAAGGAACTAACAATGTAATTAAATGGAATGATAATGTAGGCTAAACCAACTCAGTTGGTATAGCCTACATTATCATTCAATTTAATTACATTATTAGTTCCTTCAGTTGGTTTAGCCTACATTATCATTCCATTTAATTACATTGTTAGTTCCCTTCAGTTGGTTTAGCCTACATTATCATTCCATTTAATTACATTATTAGTTCCTTCAGTTGGTATAGTCTACATTATCATTCAATTTAATTACATTATTAGTTCCTTCAGTTGGTATAGTCTACATTATCATTCCATTTAATTACATTATTAGTTCCTTCAGTTGGTATAGTCTACATTATCATTCCATTCAATTACATTGTTAGTTCCTTCAGTTGGTATAGCCTACATTATCATTCCATTTAATTACATTGTTAGTTCCCTTCAGTTGGTTTAGCCTACATTATCATTCCATTTAATTACATTATTAGTTCCTTCAGTTGGTATAGCCTACATTATCATTCCATTTAATTACATTGTTAGTTCCTTCAGTTGGTTTTGCCTACATTATCATTCCATTTAATTACATTGTTAGTTCCTTCAGTTGGTATAGCCTACATTATCATTCCATTTAATTACATTGTTAGTTTCTTCAGTTAGTATAGCCTACATTATCATTCAATTTAATTACATTGTTAGTTCCCTTCAGTTGGTATAGCCTACATTATCATTCAATTTAATTACATTGTTAGTTCCTTCAGTTGGTATAGCCTACATTATCATTCCGTTAAATTACATTGTTAGTTCCTTCAGTTTGTATAGCCTACATTATCATTCCATTTAATTACATTGTTAGTTCCCTTCAGTTGGTATAGCCTACATTATCATTCAATTTAATTACATTGTTAGTTCCTTCAGTTAGTATAGCCTACATTATCATTCCATTTAATTACATTGTTAGTTCCCTTCAGTTGGTTTAGCCTACATTATCATTCAATTTAATTACATTGTTAGTTCCCTTCAGTAGGTATAGCCTACATTATCATTCCATTTAATTACATTGTTAGTTCCTTCAGTTGGTATAGCCTACATTATCATTCCATTTAATTACATTGTTAGTTTCTTCAGTTAGTATAGCCTACATTATCATTCAATTTAATTACATTGTTAGTTCCCTTCAGTTGGTATAGCCTACATTATCATTCAATTTAATTACATTGTTAGTTCCTTCAGTTGGTATAGCCTACATTATCATTCCGTTAAATTACATTGTTAGTTCCTTCAGTTTGTATAGCCTACATTATCATTCAATTTAATTACATTGTTAGTTCCCTTCAGTTGGTATAGTCTACATTATCATTCAATTTAATTACATTGTTAGTTCCTTCAGTTAGTATAGCCTACATTATCATTCCATTTAATTACATTGTTAGTTCCCTTCAGTTGGTTTAGCCTACATTATCATTCAATTTAATTACATTGTTAGTTCCCTTCAGTAGGTATAGCCTACATTATCATTCCATTTAATTACATTGTTAGTTCCTTCAGTTGGTATAGTCTACATTATCATTCCGTTTAATTACATTGTTAGTTCCTTCAGTTGGTATAGCCTACATTATCATTCCATTTAATTACATTGTTAGTTTCTTCAGTTAGTATAGCCTACATTATCATTCAATTTAATTACATTGTTAGTTCCCTTCAGTTGGTATAGCCTACATTATCCTTCAATTTAATTACATTGTTAGTTCCTTCAGTTGGTATAGCCTACATTATCATTCCGTTAAATTACATTGTTAGTTCCTTCAGTTTGTATAGCCTACATTATCATTCAATTTAATTACATTGTTAGTTCCCTTCAGTTGGTATAGCCTACATTATCATTCAATTTAATTACATTGTTAGTTCCTTCAGTTAGTATAGCCTACATTATCATTCCATTTAATTACATTGTTAGTTCCCTTCAGTTGGTTTAGCCTACATTATCATTCAATTTAATTACATTGTTAGTTCCCTTCAGTAGGTATAGCCTACATTATCATTCCATTTAATTACATTGTTAGTTCCTTCAGTTGGTATAGCCTACATTATCATTCCGTTTAATTACATTGTTAGTTCCTTCAGTTGGTATAGCCTACATTATCATTCCGTTTAATTACATTGTTAGTTCCTTCAGTTGGTATAGCCTACATTATCATTCCATTTAATTACATTATTTTGTTTACCTTCATTTGCTTCCTGTGTAAATGCCGTCACGGCCATGTGTTTGTTGCTTAGTAACAGTTAATAATAATATAAAAAAGATTTCAATAGCACAGATCATGCCGTAACAGTTTGAACCCGACCCATGTTGCAATACTTGGCTGTGTCATCACACTGTTCCATGGTTAGTGCAGGCAGTAGACGAGGGTGCAGCCTACTATTTGACACTATTCTCCCTATTATAATTATATGGACACTAATCTTCCAACAGCACCATGGGATGAAGAACTGAATGTGGCAATTTTCAGAATGAATCAAACCACCGCTTTCTTTCTTTAGTGCAAAAGACAACAAAGCTGTTTTTTCTGGATCATATATACTTTCCTAACTATAAATAATCTACAAGAGCAGAGTATTTCGAAATCTACCATTTGGTGCTGAAATGGAGACAAATATGCATATATTTATTTATTTAATTGGTCCGTACTATTCTGAACCCGTTCTCTCAATATATTGAGAGTCTGTCAACAAAATTCTAACTAGAAGATACAACATATTTAAAGGGATGGCTTAAAATAAATGTACTGAAAACCGTATTGAATGAAAACTCCATTAGAAAATCTTATGGCCAGCAACTGGGAGGGTTTTCAGCAGTTTAATTACATTTATTCAGCGCGCAAGAGAACCATGCCTGCAAAGCCCATTACATACCTTCTAAGGTAAGTCTGAATACCAACTACTGAGAAGTGCGTAAGAAGGCGTAATTGGGCCCTACATGTACTATATAGAGCCCTATGGACCCTGGTCAAAAGTAGTGCACTAAATAGGGAATAGGGTGCCATTCTCTGGTCTAAAGTAGTGCACTAAATAGGGAATAGGGTGCCATTTGGGACGCACAATAACCAGGAGGGCTGAGCCCAGACTTGGCTCTCTGTCGTGAATTGACAACAATCTGCATTTTAATAACTTCCTGTCTCTCTTTAATACCATCCCATGTGGCTGGGAGGGCTGGGAGGGCTGGGAGACGGGCAGGGCACGGTTCTCAGGGAGGCTGGCCATGTACCCTCCCTCCCCTGGTCCATTGGCAGAGCAGCAGCCTCAGCAGGACGTAGGGGAGGGAAGAGGAGGGCCATGTGCCAGAGAGCCCCTCTCCTCCCAGCCTCCAGCCAGATGATGTGTGTTTCTGTGGAGTGGGACTGTTAGTGAAGGAGCTCTCCGTCTGCCCGTGAGCAGAACAGTAGTCAGCAGTAATTAGCAGGTGCTGTGAGAAGCCTCTCTGTTCCTACTGGCCATCAGGAGCTGCCAGACCTCTCGAGGACCTCTTCAGCAGCCAGAGAAGAGCTCTTGAGGGTCAGCGGAGTGCAGAGGGAGGCCAGAGAGGGGCGGGAGAACCATGAAACAGTGTGCCTCCACTCTGGAGCTGTTGGCGATGGTAGTGTACATGGCAGCCTGGCTGTGTGCTCTGGCCACCACCCTGATGTCCCAGTGGCTGACCCTGTCCACAGAACTCTTGCTCACAGAGAGCTATGAGCTGGGTCTCTGGGAGACCTGTGTGGTCCAGGACATGGGGGGGATGGAGTGTCGACCCTACGACAGCCTGCTTGGCCTGCCTCAGGACATCAAGGTGGCCCGTGTCTTCATGTGTATCTCCCTGGCTGTGGGTCTGCTGGGCCTGCTGCTGGCTATCCCTGGTCTCTACCTGGTCAACAGCTTCAGCCAGGGGCTGGAGGGCTGCAGGGCCAAGAGGATCCTGAAGGTGGCAGGAGGGGTGCTGGGGATGATAGCTGGCGTGCTGTCTCTGATCCCTGTTTCCTACGTCGCCCACCTGACGGTAATGCGCTACTTTGATGAGTCGGTGCCTGAGGTGGTGCCGCGCTGGGAGTTTGGTGATGCCCTGTTCTGCGGCTGGGTGGGGGGGTTCCTCCTGCTGGTGGCTGGATTACTCCTGTTTGCATCCTGTCTGGGGCCTCTGGCAGATCATTCCAGGGGCCCCCAGGCAGACTATTACGGAGCACCCCAGGCAGACCATTCCAGGGGCCCCCAGGCAGACTATTACGGAGCCCCCCAAGCAGACCATTCCAGGGGACCCCAGGCAGACTATTACGGAGCACCCCAGGCAGATCCCCCGAAGAGATACGAGGTCCGGAGTACAGATCATTCCTTCAGAAAACCTCCAAAATATGTCTGAGGGGAGGGGAGGGGAGGAGAGGGGAGGTGGAGGGGAGGGGAGGAGGGAGTGGAGGGGAGTGGAAGGGAGAAGAGAAGAGGGGAGAAGAGAGGAGATACGAGGTCCGGAGTATGGATCAATCCTCCAGGAAATCTACAGAGTATGTCTGAGAAGAGGGGAGGGGAGGGGAGGGGAGGGGAGGGGAGGGGAGGGGAGAGGAGAGGACGTGGAGGGGAGGGGACGTGGAGGGGAGGGGAGAGGAGGGGAGGGGAGGGGAGGGGAGGGGAGGGGAGGGGAGGTGGAGGGGAGGGGAGGGGAGGGGAGGGGAGGGGAGGGGAGGGGAGGGGAGGGGAGGGGAGGGGAGGGGAGGGGAGAGGACGTGGAGGGGAGGGGAGGGGAGGGGAGGGGAGGATAGAGGAGAGGCAGTCTGGAAGGTTTATGGATGGTTCCGCCTCTCTTGAAAATAGTTAAACAGCCTGAGAACCAGCCTTGGCTCTGACTGACTAAAGCAACTATATGCTTCTATGTCAAACCCACTCGCGTTACCTGGAGCAACTTTCACAACACAACATTTATTTTTTAAATGTCAAATTTAGAGGAAATTGTTGGGATGTAAACCTGCTTACAGCCTCACCCAATCCTCTCTGACTCTATAAAGCCTGTCTGCAGGTAACTCTTTCAGACAAATATTTGTTTTAATAATGTCAATTTAATGTAGAAATTAAACACTTGATATACAGTAATTGCAATAAATAATAATTTAGTGTTAAATATAAGTATATGTTCACTGAATTTAAGATGTTTTTGTAAATAATAGTTTACAATTATATCAATCATAAATCAATCATCTACCGTAAAGAATTGATCTGAATTACATTGGTTTTCTGCTAACATGCTGAAGTTGACAAAATACTACTGTATTGAAGTACAAAATACTACTTTATTGAAGTATGATTTCCATCCAGACTACAATGTAACTGGTTTCTTCATCTTTTCCCAACGAGTTCCAACCAGCCATGTAGATGGGTTAGGGTTAGTTCCAACCAGCCATGTAGATGGGTTAGGGTTAGTTCCAACCAGCCATGTAGATGGGTTAGGGTTAGTTCCAACCAGCCATGTAGATGGGTTAGGGTTAGTTCCAACCAGCCATGTAGATGGGTTAGGGTTAGTTCCAACCAGCCATGTAGATGGGTTAGGGTTAGTTCCAACCAGCCATGTAGATGGGTTAGGGTTAGTTCCAACCAGCCATGTAGATGGGTTAGGGTTAGTTCCAACCAGCCATGTAGATGGGTTTAGGGTTAGTTCCAACCAGCCATGTAGATGGGTTAGGGTTAGTTCCAACCAGCCATGTAGATGGGTTAGGGTTAGTTCCAACCAGCCATGTAGATGGGTTAGGGTTAGTTCCAACCAGCCATGTAGATGGGTTAGGGTTAGTTCCAACCAGCCATGTAGATGGGTTAGGGTTAGTTCCAACCAGCCATGTAGATGGGTTAGGGTTAGTTCCAACCAGCCATGTAGATGGGTTAGGGTTAGTTCCAACCAGCCATGTAGATGGGTTAGGGTTAGTTCCAACCAGCCATGTAGATGGGTTAGGGTTAGTTCCAACCAGCCATGTAGATGGGTTAGGGTTAGTTCCAACCAGCCATGTAGATGGGTTAGGGTTAGTTCCAACCAGCCATGTAGATGGGTTAGGGTTAGTTCCAACCAGCCATGTAGATGGGTTAGGGTTAGTTCCAACCAGCCATGTAGATGGGTTAGGGTTAGTTCCAACCAGCCATGTAGATGGGTTAGGGTTAGTTCCAACCAGCCATGTAGATGGGTTAGGGTTAGTTCCAACCAGCCATGTAGATGGGTTAGGGTAGTTCCAACCAGCCATGTAGATGGGTTAGGGTTAGTTCCAACCACCATGTAGATGGGTTAGGGTTAGTTCCAACAGCCATGTAGATGGGTTAGGGTTAGTTCCAACCAGCCATGTAGATGGGTTAGGGTTAGTTCCAACCAGCCATGTAGATGGGTTAGGGTTAGTTCCAACCAGCCATGTAGATGTGGTCAGTGCCAACATTCTGCAGAATCTACAGAGATATGGCTGTATGGTACTGTAGTCCACTACACAATGCTATAATAATGTAATCTACTACACAATGCTATGATACTGTAGTCCACTACACAATGCTATGATACTGTAATCTACTACACAATGCTATGATACTGTAGTCCACTACACAATGCTATGATACTGTAGTCTACTGTACACAATGCTATGATACTGTAGGCTACTACACAATGCTATGATACTGTAGTCTACTACACAATGCTATGATACTGTAATCTACTACACAATACTATGATACTGTAGTCTACTACACAATACTATGATACTGTAATCTACTACACAATGCTATGATACTGTAATCTACTACACAATACTATGATACTGTAGTCTACTACACAATACTATGATACTGTAATCTACTACACAATGCTATGATACTGTAATCTACTACACAATACTATGATACTG